AAGTCAGCCGCTGCTGAAACTGACCAGCGGATGACTACAGGAGGCCCGAGGCAGGAAGCCCCTGCCCCGGGCTTCCTGGAATCAGCTGCTGATCAGTTTCAGCAGCAGCTGACTTGGGGATGCCTGGGGTTCTTAAGTTGAATCTGTATGTAAGTCGGAACTGGTGTCCAGATTCAGCCGCTGTTGAAACTGATCAGTTACAGCAGCGGCTGAATCTGGACGCCAGTTCTGACTTACATACAGATTCAACTTAAGAACAAACCTACAGTCCCTATCTTGTACGTAACCCGGGGACTGCCTGTAGATTAATAAAGAGTGACTGTAAATTAGGACTCTGCATACCAGTGATCTGAGCGTAGAGATTTGAAGACAAGGAGAATCCATGCTTCTAAAAGCACCTCTGGGACAAAACCAGATATATTTAGAACTTTCCCCAGTGAAAGGTTATATAGTAAACAAGACAGTAGACATATTTTTGTAAAGAAAAACAATAATGCAATTCAGTGCCTAAAGTGTTAAGGCATAAATAAGGTCTAAAGTATATGAACATGGGGGAACCTATTCTAGGATTATTTTTATTTTTCTTATTCTAAAGAATCTTCCAAAGAAGTGTTTAAATATTTTGAACAACAACAAATAACTTTGCAATCAAGCTAAAGGTAGGGAACATGCTTTTTAATGCAGTTATATTTAAATTGTCCACATTATAAAAACAAAACATCATAGAGCTTTTTTAAAAATCCTTTAATTTCCTTCCAAGGTAGCAAATTTGGTATAATTCACACTATATGGCATTGCAAATTTTAATTTAATGCGTCAATTACATGCAAATATTTTAACTGACTGTTTTTGTACAGTTGCTGCTTTTGAAAAGACAAGAAAAGCATTTGTATTTTGCTTAGAAAGGTAACTCCAGAACTTTTGAATAAATCTAACTGATACAAAGTTAGTTACAATCCAACTGGCTCTTGTGAAGCATTTTCCAAACTGGACTCTGGTCTGTGATCTGCGCTTTTGCCATTAGCATTCTGTCGCGAATATTGTCTATGTGTGGTTTGCAAGTGGTCTGAAAAGAAAAGAAATGTGACTTACTTACAAATATTTTAATTAAAAGAAAATTAGATAGTTTGGGTAAAGATGATACTGAGTAATTTCCAGTTGTACTATAGCAAGAGACTGAGAACAGATTCTCAACTGGATATCTGGGAGTGAAGGAGAAACAAAGGTAACTGGATCGTCTATCTTGGGATATCAGGCTGATCCTAAAACACAACTTAAAGCAGGTGTAGGACTGCTTTTTTCATATTTTGATAACATCCCAACAAAGGGTTGTTCAGCTGCCAAGGATTGGATAAATATGGCTGCTCCCTGGCCACACCTCCACTGGGAACAGAAGAGTGAAATGGCAGCTATTATACGTGTTTTACTCAAGCTGGGATTCCCCAAATGGGGGAGTTTTGAAGTAGCTTATTCAGCTGGCTAGTGACTGCTTTGCACTGTGAACTAGTGCAAGTTGGCCCCAACAGAGGCTAGGTTGTGGCCTTAAGATTTAGAACTATTTTTTAATGGCCACAAATATATCTGGGTCTCCTGCTAACATCGTCCCTTCCATGGAACTTCCATTGAAGTCACTTGAACATTAGTGCAGTTCAAGTGCAGGATAGCCTTAAATTTATAAGATAAGCAGTAGGCCTAATTTTATTTAGCATCCTTGCAGTTAATATGGACAGATTTAATGAAAAGCTAGAAGTCTGACATACAGTGGTTACTATTAAGATGTCAATATTTAATAGTTGTGGCACTGTAGTCCTTGAGATGTTTTTGTTTTATAGACTCTAGGAGAGAAAATAACTACAATACCTTATATCAGAATATTGTAGCTTGATAAATACTGGATTTTTTCATATAGTGATCTTTAATGAAAGGGATAAAATACAAACCAATATCTAGTTTTAAAGTTTGTTCCTTTTATTTTTGGTACATTATTGGAGTGCTGTTCCTACTATTATAATTAACATTGAATCAGCATTTCTGTAGAAAAATCATTAAATAGCTCTTGCATGTGCATTTAGCCTTGTCAAAGAAAATTCATGTTTACTTATGCATATAGAGTGTGTCAGTTGCACAGATAGAAAGGACATATATGGATGGCACTGTAGTTGCTAGTGTCTAGAACAGATTTATATAGGTAGACGTCATTGATTGAAGTTCACAAGCTGCTATAGTCTTTAGGTTAATTAATAATTTACTTTAAGATGATAGTCAATATTTACAGCCTGATTTTGCTTTCATACTAATTTTATACTAATAAATTAATGGAGTCACTCCCGATTTACTGCCCTAGATCTGTCATTCATCTTTATACATGCTAGTAAGACCTTTTAAAACTATAGTTTACTATAATTCTAAAACATTTGAACCACATCAGCAGCCTCTTGTGCCTAGAACAGTAGGTTTGATCAGAACTATGGTCAATCTAATAGTAAGCTACAAGCTCAGTTAAGGACAACAACAAATTCATTTTGTAATTCATTGATTTTATTGATTTGATGTATTTTTTAAAAAGCTTCATAGGTAATATTTATTAACATATACCATAAGACTTACCTTGGCTATAGTTAGCATGAGTTTAACTGTTTCAGCAGTGTTATGAACTGGAATTAAACGTAAATTACTGCCCAGGAATCTGCACATCAGAATAATCAGTTACATTCAAAGTATATATTTACAGTACATGACAACTTAAGGTTGAAAAACCTCTCTCACATTATCCAAATCATTTTTCTCCATCTGAGCATTTCCCACAATTCTGGACCTCTGGGTTGCTGTACTTTCTGAGCATGTCATGGAAGCAGTGATTTGGTCCAACATGGTCTGGCCATGTCCCTTCTGCTCTAGCTTGCTGCCAGATTATCTGCCTCCACAGCAGCAGACAGTGGAAGTTCCTTTGCCTCATGCCCTTACTACTTCAATTGTAACTTTTTTACCCAATTTTTTGGGTGGTGGGAAGCAGTGTTCTCTCTCCTCAGCACTCCTCTTTTCCCCTGGATCAGTTAACCTCTGCAGGGGAGGGGTGTGTGTGTTCACTGTAGCATCCCCCAGCTTCCTCCTCTGCCCTTTATGGACATGACAGGGCAGCTAAGAAAGCACCCGATCAAATCCAAGTGATGCTCAGTGTGAGAGACTGCCTTCCCAGGCTCGGCAAACAGAGAGTTATTCCTTCTGTCCATAACTCCATTAGATAAAAGGGCTAGGAGTCAGACTGCCTTGGGGGTAGGGTACCCTACTTGCCTATCCCACCTAGCAGGGGAAAAAGGAACCCCAGTGCAGAGCAGGGAAAGGCTCCAACCACAAGGAGGACTGCAGCCAGTCAGCTCTGGGAATAAGTCCAGCCTGGGGACCCTTGAAAAACAAGGGAGATTTTTCAGGGCCACAGGTCCCCAACCTTCCAAGTGAGTCCTGAGTGCCTGCGGGGAGAGATGCAGGGCTTCTAATCCACTTCCCTCCTTCCCAAAGCAACCAGAAAGGCTCTAACAAGAAGTTCTCCCAGCCACCCGGTTTAGAGGATTTTAAAAGATTTCAAAGGCTCTAGGCCCTAAGAAAGGCAAGACACACAGGCTTCACCAAAGCCGCAGCAGAACTTCTGTTTCCCCAAAGTGCACTAAACAGATATTTTAAAATATACAAAGGCTAAAAAGGGAGGGGAAAAAAACAAAAAATCCAGGAGATAAGAGATCTCTTTCTCATCCTTCCCCCGACTTCCACTGAAGAAGGTGAGCTGTAGCTCTGAAACCTGACTAGGCTCCCATTAAAGCCTCAAAATAAATGTTTCTTATCAAATCCTTCCCTAAAGCTGCAGTTACTCCTTCAAGGAAGAGTGATTAGGGATGAATACAGGAAGTTATGGCCATTCTATTACAAACCTGGAAAAGTGGGCTGTGCCCACAAAAGTTCATGATACCATCTACATTTTTTTTTAGTCTATAAAGTGCTACCATTTGTTGGGGTTTTTTTCCTAGAAAAAAAAAATCACTACATATATTACATAGCAATGAAGTGATGAAAGGAAGTGTCATGCTTTTAAGAGCATCCCATGTCAAATTGACTGTGTCATGTCAAAATTATTCTGAAAATATTGTTTTGCACATTCTCCATTAATAAGCCAAATCAGTGTGTTACAAACATTAGCCTATGGCTAGTTTTCCACTAGATAAGCAAAATCAAATTCACCTATGTGATGATTTGGGAAATCTGTCTGTAGAAATTATGTATTCCGGTTGATGATGCAAAATTGTTACTATGTAAAATTGCTATACAGGCAGTCCCCGGGTTACGTACAAGATAGGGACTGTAGGTTTGTTCTTAAGTTGAATCTGTATGTAAGTCGGAACTGGCGTCAGCCGCTGCTGAAACTGACCGCCAGTTCTGACTTACATACAGAATCAACTTAAGAACCCCAGGCGTCCCCAAGTCAGCTGCTGCTGAAACTGATCA